TTATATTACTACTACTTTGTACTTGCTTATATAGCATCTCCCATCCAAGAATTCCAACGTGTTTTACAGGTTGTATTAAGCCTCAGAACACCTCAGTGCGGTAGAGAATTATTTTTATTCCTCATGGGGAAAGAGACACAGATGTCAGATGCCAGGTCACAGATGTCAGATGCTCTCAAACTGAACTTTGTACAAAGAAGTAATAAATTCTATCCTTTGGTAAAAATGCTTCTAAATTGGTAAAAGTTTATGCAAATTCTTAAGGATTCTTATACCATTGCTACTGAAACAGAGCCTGATTTTCAACTGAGCGCTCAAAAACTAGGGCCAAATCAAGGTAACCTGGATCCCTAAGCGCACTACATATCCCAACACTATATTTTGGTTAAACTTTCCCCTCCCTCCTAGGTGTAGCAATAGGGACTTCTCTTCCCTTGGGAGCATCAGGGATAGCAGCTGGGATTCCCTCTTTCCCATGGAGAATTGGGGTGAGGCAGGCCAGTACTTACATTCTGCCTGCTGGGGTACCTGCTTGGGTGGGTGGGCAAGGCCTGCTGCACTCTTCTCCTCCTGCCACACATGGAGACCTCCAATGTAATGGTTTTGGCATACTGTTCTGGGGGGGGTGGGGGGAGGGGAGGGGAAGGGGGTAAGTCCTGAAGTTACCATCGCATTGAGATCAATGAGGCAGTTCGCCCCTCCCTCTCAGAGCAATTGCTCCCTGGGGCTGGAATGAACCACCCAAAATTTAACAAACAATGATTGAGCATACAGAAACAACTTTGTTGTCAGAAGGAATTTGAACCTGGGACCTTAAAATACCAAGTTATAATTTCCTGGCTTTGAAACATGTGTTGTTGTGGACTTCTGTTTTCTTTTCTTTTGCAACTGTAACAGTCTAGTACTTTTTGCTGAAGTCTAAATTTATTTAAGAATGTTCATTGTCCAAAATTAACTGTCTTAAAATTATTCCAAAAAGGAGGGAGTCTTCCTCCCAATCTAAGAGTCTTGGTAGGGCTGCAGGAGTCAAGACATGAACTTAAAGGCCAAAATAATTAATATTTCTCCTCACATCCATCTGCTTTCAGGTGAATGAAACAACACTGAAGAAACAGAATAAGTAGGAAGCATAGCTGCAAAGTTTTGTGCAGCTCCATGTGTGGCATTTACACAAATTATTTAATAAGCTAGTTTGCAAAGTTGTAAATATGTAAATAATTTGTATACAACAACAAATTCTGGCTTTAGTGCTCATGCAACATTAGAAAATGAAGCCTTCTGTTTATCTCCAAAGCAGCATCAGGGCAAGCTTTTTACACACACACACACACACACACACACACCTACACCTGGCAGTATGCCTCACCTTGTGTGGGGTTGGGGGGGGTGGGGGGGGAATAGAAAGAACTTTACCTAGGAGGTAACAGGGGGTAGTTTTGTCTCCATGGCCTCTGAAGTTCATGGCCTCTCTAATAAGTCCACCAGTTAGTGCAAAGTCTGGTGATTTTTGGAGGTGAATCAAAAAGATAATAAAGGGGCCACCAACTTTTCCCATTAGATGGGAAAAACTTTTTAATCCCCATTGCATTGGGCTGGATTCCTACTGGTGAGTGACAGGCAAAATGCAATGAAGTTCATTGCCTATGTCCTCGGGCAGCCAGTGCCTTAGTATGTGCTAATTTTATACTTTCAAGAGTGAGGTTTGTTTTCTAGAAAGATAAGTTTATTATATTAAGTTCTGACTTTTTTGGAGCTTACACAAGATAGGGTCTTCCAGTCTCTGCATATGCAAGCAACATCTCTGCACACTGCTCTCAGATATTATAGGATTTGTTTGAAGAAGACTCTCTCATGTTGTTGCTGAAAGGACAGATCCCATAAACCAAAACACAATATACTCAAAATATATCATCATTAGGGCTGCAGATTTGCCACATTTTTTTTTAAATCAAAAGCCATGGAACAGTCACAGCTTACTAAATTACTATAATAGTTTGCGATTTTTGATAGAAAATGCCTTCCCCTCGCCTCACTGAGGGGGCACTGACCACACTTAGCAGTACCCTCTGCCCCAGCACAACAACCTGAAGGCCGATCTGGTGAGGAAGGGCTTGGGAGAGAGCCCATCCCACACTCACTCCTGGCAGCAGTGGCTCCTGCAGCTCCTGTCCCATGGGGTTGGGCTGGGGTCGGGTCCAGTGTCCCACTTTGGGCATTGTGACCTAGCACACAGGGTCACAGCGCCACTCGGGTTTGATTCCCCCCCACCCTCCTGTCATGACAGAAGGGCAGGTGAGCCAAGCCAGTGGCACGGCTATTCCATGCACTAGGTTGGGGCACAACACTGCATCCAGATCTATGGGACAGGAGCTGCAGGAACCTCTGCTGCGGGATGAGTCAGGGACAAACAGGAAAATCATGCTGTGACATTTTCCCACCATGACAAACCTGCAGCCATAATAATCATCATCATCATGCAGGCAAATCCCAGAGGAAAGACATAGCCTCCTGGCAGATTGAGCATCACCTGGATCGGTATCTAACTACAACAAAAAAACAAATACTAACATAATGTCCAAATTAATCTCTAAATGTTTTGCAATATAAAATCATTTCAACAATTATATAAAGCTACTATGAGGCTAATCAGCCAGAGCTGAATTCACAACACAAAACTCTATGACTTCATCTATAGAAAGTGTGTTATCCTCAATAAGCAGCCCAGAGAGGGGGAAACAACACACATTTGATCGATCACTGGGTTACCCAACCATTTTTGTTAATTAGCACCAGAATGATGGGTCCCAGGATTCATTGGTTCTATTCCTGGTTCTAAGAGCAGAGTACGTTGTAGTGGTTAGAGACAGCATAGCAAAGTGTAACAACACTCCTATCTGGGTCACCTGTAGGGACTGAACCTGGGATCTCTGGATCTAAAAGCATGAACTTCCATCATGTGATCTGGTACTATACCAATTATCATGCAAGTATTAGTGGACTCAAACCTCTGTATATGATCTAGCCATAGAGGGACAAAAATTCATAGTGTGTTGGTATGAGTTAGTTAAGCATATAATTTGGCCCACTTCATCTGAAAGCCAGTGTTGAAAATAGATGAGACTTATTTCCCCCCAGCTATGCTTCCAGCAATCCTTCAGTTACCTTAGCTGTAAAATGAGCAAAGATGCTTGCCACCCCTAAGGTAGGTGTATGAGACCTTCATTAATAATAGGTGTGAGGTGCACAGAAATACTAAGAACAGTGAGCAAAACTGCTGGGAGTTGAACCCAAAGTAGCTTGGTTTGTAGCTTAAGGTGCTTACCCCTAAACTACAGAGTACTACTTGGAGGCATCTATCTCTATTTTACCAGTTGCGTGGGAATGAGAGAAGTCTACAGCATGTGTCACCAACACACAAAATACATGACATTTAGCAGGCCCAAGGAAGATGAGAATATAGATTCTCTGACAAAAGTGAGAAAATCAACTGTAATCTTGTTACAGACAATGGAAGTCTAAATGTTGCAAAATGAGGTGGCATTATTGGGAAATAAATCATTCGGAGTCCAAGAGCTGCAACTAATTGGCATAATAATCATGGTGGTGATGATGATGCGAGCCTCCATCGGCCACTTGTTAAATTTTCAAACAAGCACTTTTGTGCTCTTCCATCTTGCCCCGTATGCTTGGGAGGAGGTCCCCATAAACATCCACAAAGCAACCTCATTATTCTCTTTCAAATCCCTTATTAAATGTTTCTTTTCCACAATGCCTACAAAAAACTTGAGAGTGGTTGGGCCTCTGGTGTGCTGAGATCATACATAAGAATGGCCGTACTAGGTCAGACCAAAGGTCCATCTAGCCCATTATCCTGTCTTCCGACAGTGGCCAATGCCAGCAGGGCCGGCTCCAGGGATTTGGCCGCCCCAAGCAGCCACACAAAAAAAAAAAAAGCCGTGATCGCAATCTGTGGCGGCAATTCGGCAGAAGGTCCTTCGCTCCTAGCGGGAGTGAGGGACCATCCGCCGAACTGCCGCCGAATAGCTGGACCTGCTGCCCCTGTCCGGAGTGACCGCCCCAAGCACCAGCTTGCCAAGCTGGTGCCTGGAGCCGGCCCTGAATGCCAGGTGCCCCAAAGAGAATGAACAAAACAGGTAATTATCAAGTGATCCATCCCCTGTTGCTCATTCCCAGCTTCTGGCAAACAGAGGCTAGGGACACCATTCCTGCCCATTCTGGCTAATTAGCCATTGATGGACCATAGCTTATCGTGTTGTCCAATACTGCCGCACTGTTTCTTTGTACTCCCTCATCTGTCCGGAGCCATCTGTTGTCACTTTTCTTATACTTAGATTGTAAGCTATTTAGGGCAGGGACCATCTTTTTGTTCTGTGTTTGTACAACGCCTAGCACATCGGGGTCTTGGTCCCCACTTAGTGCTCATAGGCGCTACTGTAATACAGTTAATGAATAAATAACAGTTACAATAAAACAGAGCAGATTGCAGCTGTCTGCATTGCTGGTAGGGTTGTGCATAAGACAGGCTCCCCAGCCTACCATGCTCCATCTCCTCTTACCCAGCAGGTCTCAGCAAGCCACCGACCTGAGCAGCCAGCCCGCACATGGATGTCAAATGGCACCAGGGTGCTGTGCCGTGCCCTGCCTCACTCCAAGGGGCCGGTCCTATGCATCTAAGAAAAGAGCCAGCATGTGGAAAGGACAGCTGCGAGCTGCCTAGCCAGGGGCCTCCCAGTGGGTGCCAGCCATGCACTGGCTCTTAACGCCCCCCCGGCGATGCCAGCCAGCTGTCCTCCAATAGCCCAGGGTCCCGTGCGGGGGTGCCCAGGCCGGACGGGGAGGCAGAGACCCGCCACCGGTGGGGATGGGGCCCCGGAACCTAAGGGAGAGCCATGGGGTGACGGTGCTGGGCACCAGCCGCACGCAGCCCGCCCCACCACGCTGCCGAACCCGCGGCCCCGGGCCCCCGCTCGGCCCCTCACCGTGTACCCTCGCTCCAGCTCGCTCTCCTCGTAGCGGAAGGACGGGATGTAAAGCTCCATGGCGCGCGCGGGCCGGGCCAGCGGGGGGAGCCGGGCACCGCAGCGCTCCAGGGCAGCAGCAGCTCCCCGGGACCGAGCCAGCTGCGAGCGAGTCACGTGACACGCGGGGAGCCCACATGACGCCAGTACGCGGCGGGGGGCGGCAAGGCCCCCAGCGCAGCAGCCGGCCCGGGGCGGGGGCGAGGCGGGCCTCGGGCACGCGAGCCAGGCAGCCCTGTGCAGCTCGCGACCTGCCCAGCCAGGGAACTGGAGCCGGCCCCTGGGCTCACCCTGGTCCAAAACACTCCGCGCCGCCCCAGGGGGATCCCGGCTAGCGGCTCGGCGCTCAGGGAACCTGCCGGGCGGCCACAGCCGGCGGCGGTATCCACCTTTGTGCCAGGCCATCAGCTCCCCCGGCTTCTCCTCTATGTGCGCAAATGGGTGCGCTCGGCCTTTAGCTTCTCCAGCCGCCACCGAGGTCAGCATGGAGTGCTGATTAAGAGCCTGTGGCTCACTCAGTTCTTAGTTGCATTCTTGTTTTTTCTCCGTCCCCTCAAATCTCTTAGAGAGTCTCTCCATTGTAAGCCAGCCACGGAAACAGAGTTGTTATCGCCTAACACTGAAATGTACAAAAGTGGTCAGTTTTGCACCAGTGCCGGTCATCTGTTTCTGCTGTTTAGGGTAACCAGATGGCCCGATGTTATAGGGACAGTCCCAATATTTGGGGCTTTTTCTTATATAGGCTCCTATTACCCCCCCCACCCCATCCCGATTTTTCACATTTGTTATCTGGTCATCCTACTGCTGTTTGCTCTCAAATCCAGTGCTGGTTGGCATAATTGCTGTAGCAACGGGTTGTAATGTCGGTGTAGAGGAACAAACAGATGACTTTCTAAACTAACCGTATTGTTTTTATGCACCTGCTTTAGTAATAGCAAAGAAATCCAAACAAAAACACTTTTGATACTATGCTATAGGCTATCTCCACATAGGTGTTTTCTAGGATACCTCAAATTAGTAGACATTAAATTTCTCTTTAATGTCTCATTCTCACCTATACACTTGCATGTTGAGCAAGTCCAGGCACAACTTGCGTGAGGAACAGTACAGAGAAATACAGAAAGTCACAAGTAGGATGGACTAAGAAAAGCAAGTTCAAGAGTTTCCTAGGAGGCAGCAGTAGCTCTTTGATAAATAGAAGGTAACAGATAGTAGCTATTATCCCAAAACAATACTGCTGTATCCTGTTGAATCATTCACTGGTCATACTATCTCCTGGCACCATTTTCAGTTTACTGTTGGCTCTAGATCAAGGTCACCTGATTCACATGGCTACCCATGCATGAAAAGTGACAAGCAAATCAGTAAACAGTTGGAGTTTTAACACTTTATTCAAGAATCAAGCCAGGATAACAGTTACAACCTTTGACTTTGAAATGTTTACAATTCACATTCTGCTTTGAGGGAAAAAGGTCCTCTTTGGCTGGAAAGGCTCTTGATAATTTTTTGTTATTTATTTTTAACCATACAAGAGACAGCATATTTTGGTTTATAAAGTGTGAGTACTATATATTGGTTTCTAGGCCCAGGTACAAGAACTATAAAATCACATACTGTACCCTGAACTAACATCAATTAACAATAAGGAATCTCTCCTCCACCTCTATCTTCCATAGGGGAAAAAAAAAAATCTCATCCACTATTCAAACTACATCTTCAGAAAATAGATATGCCTTGCAACATGCAATAAAGATAATCATTTTTTAACTCTGTTGCTCTAATCAGGAAGGAAGAAGGGAGCAAAGTCTCTTCAGAACACCCTTTTCACCAGTCCAACAAACCTAGAGAGCATCTGCCTGAACATTCCAGATCTTAGCTGCAGGCATAAAGCACAGAGTCAGGAAAAAATTCTGGCAGGGAGCTTTCCTGTTGACTTCAGTGAATGTCAGGATTTGTAGTCGCTAAAATACACAAAACCCAAACAATTTAGTGCATTTCATTTGTAAACTGAGACCAAGTGTGTCTGCTTTAAACAGATCCATTAAATTACGATTGTTTTGTACAGATGAGGAAAAAGTGGATTGTATTCTGAAACATTTTGAATAATCAATTCTCCTGTCTGATGAAACCTCCATTAAAATGTCAGTTTTGCTCTACTGAACAAAATACAAAGGAAGGAGCAGATGTTTATTAATTTGAGAGATTAATTTCATACAAACAAAATTTAGCCCAAAAGCAAATATCTGAATTGATGACAAAGTAAACTTCGGAGGCAAGTTCTAAGTGAAATATTAGATGCATTTGATGTATCCCTATGCTGCTTTGTAGCTAACAGTTTATACAGCACTTTTCTCTCCCTTATGCAAACCTTACTAACCCCAAACATCTGCCATCCATCTTGGGGCAATAGAAGACAACAACCACCCCACAAGCTCACAGGAATCACAGATGCAGATGACAGTCTATATTATCTTTCCTCTTTACAATTATAACAACTTAACAGACTTGAGCACGCGCGCACACATGCTTTTGTTTCCAAGTTTCTCATTAGAAAAGTGGTCAGTTTGATCATTTTCCTCGCTGTTCTCACTTATCTTTGGGGTTTTCCTGTAATCGTTGCATTTATATAGCATGTTAACCCTATGCCCTTGCAGGGTTCTGGTTTCTATATAATGAAATAAACACAAATTGAAATACAATAATATTGTTAAAAAAACCCACCCCTATTAAGTTTCAAACAAATCAAAGTAAATGATCTAAGTATTCATACCACATCTATCACCATATCTCAGCGCCAAGATGATCATGTATGAATTTCCGTTAGTAAGATGATCTAGTGAGCCACCTCTTTATTTATCCCGTCTATCTTTTTCCCTTGTTGTGGAAAAGCTAACCTGAAGTGTGTTCTACACTTTGCTCTGGAAGGAAAGATCTGTGGCCAAGAGAGTTGAAGACAAAACCAGAATAAAAATATTTAAATATTACACATTAAACATCTACACAATATAACAATACACAGTAAGCACTCAACTGAAATCAGGGCTGCCAAATTTATTGGCCATTTCCCTCTGCACAATGGTAGTACCTGAACTATGTACTGGACTGTAGACTAGGAAGATATAGTAGTGGCTATAGAGCAGGGGTCGGCAACCTTTCAGAAGTGGTGTGCCAAGTCTTCATTTATTCACTCTAATTTAAGGTTTCGCGTGCCCGTTAATACATTTTAACTTTTTTAGAAGGTCTCTTTCTATAAGTCTATAATAAATAACTAAACTATTGTTGTTTGTAAAGTAAATAAGGTTTTTAAAATGTTTAAAACGCTTCATTTAAAATTAAATTAAAATGCAGAGCCCCCCCGGACCAGTGGCTAGGACCTGGGCAGTGTGAGTGCCACTGAAAATCAGCTCGCATGCTGCCTTTGGCACGCATGCCATAGGTTGCCTGCCCCTGCTATAGAGCAACTCTGGTGCCGCTCCATGATGGTTGAGGTGCAGGCTGACAGAAATCCATTCCCATACCCTATGGGCTCCCTGCTACTGAGGTATTTGGGAGGATTTATATTGTACATATTTTCATCCAATTTTTTCCAGCCTAATAGTCATTAAACATACAGCAATGGAAAAGGTAAGCTATGTAACAAATCTAAACAGTCCCCAAGTTTAGCTCTATAAGATACCTTAATGAGAATAATTTTTATGGTATCCAGGATTCTTCAGAAATGTTAAGCCCTGAGCGTCCTATAACTGATTTCTAAATTTTATTCTGATCTCAGGTGATGTACAACAGAAATGATTCAATTGATGTCAGAGCGATTACACCAGGGTGAAACTAGTGCAAGAGTTTTGTTGCATGGCATTATTTGTGGTTTGTCAGTCATTTATTGATCATTTAGAAGGGATACCTTTCTTCCTCCTAAAAGCAACAGAAAGGCTACTTTATTTTTCTCCCAAGAGCAATACAGTTCACTAATGAGAAAAGTGTTTTTGAGACAGTAATCCAGTTGCAAATACAATGGTATATCATCAACCAAGAGGAAGAAGGAAAATTTATGGTGAGCAGAATTTGAGCAAGAGGCATTAATATATTTTGGAATATTAAGTATTCAATTTTTGCAGTATATCATCATTAGCATGCGAAGCTTTAAAATTCTAATTTAACATAGAAATCAGGGTTTCTCCACATGGCTGACAGACCTGAAATTGTCTTGGTTTACTACTAGCAACACATTTAGGGAACAAGAAGCCAAAAGGACATAAAATTTATATGACCGTCCCTGCTAAAACTTAAAGAATACAAATCATGGACAGCCTGAAGTGAATGGAGATGCACTCTGTGATTCTTATTTCTCCACTTACATTGAATGAAGATACTATGAAGATCCTCATGAACCAAAAAGCATGGTAACATCTTAAATAATTTGAGCAGTGTATTAATCTTTGTGGCATTGGCCTTCACATCTGAAATTATCTATGTTTACTTTAGAAATGACCACGTGTAACAGATGTGGAGAAAGCACTATTCTAATGTTGGATATAACGTTTCTTTCCCCTTTCCTGTACCTCTGCTTATCTCTCTATGGCACAGTCCAGAAATTTAGTTTTTTCAGGACTCTGATATATATCTATATCTACTATACAGATCTAGTATAGTATATAGTACAGGGGTTCTCAAACTGGGGGTCAAGACTCCTCAGGGGGTCGCGAGGTTATTACATGGGGGGTTGCGAGACGTCAACCTCCACCTCAAACCCCGCTTTGCATCCAGCATTTATAACGGTGTTAAATATATAAAAAAGTGTTTTTAATTTATAAGGGGGGGGTTCGCACTCAAAGGCTTGCTAAGTAAAAAAATTTGAGAGCCACTGATATGGTATCTACTATACTATACTGATAGGAGAGCAACACAATCTCTAAAGGAAAATATTTACTAAATAATTTGCATACAGAACAATTTACTTATAACCCTTGAAACATTTGTGAATATTGTCAATAACTTGTTTACAGACAACACTTTGGGGGTTGAGGATGTTCTCCCAAGTTTTTAGTACTTGTTACTATCATAAGTTCAAATGCAAAAACATAAAATTATGGATGCACACATACATACAGCTTCCCTAGGGATCTTCTCTGGGAGGGTTTACCCTTCTCAGTCTCTGTGGAATGGTGTCCAAATTCACATCAGGACATTCTAACTTCTCAAAGTTGGGAAACAAATGATAGTGCCACAGCCTCCTACAAAACTTCCCTTGAGTCTTTGCAACAACCTTCTGCAATTTGCACAGCCAAGAGCAAATTCTAGTCATCCTCTTCTCCACTGGGAGCCTGCAGTTTAATCCAACAAAACTGGAAGTCCTTTGAACACAATCATTACAGTAGACCCTTCCGATCCTTGAGCTCCTGTATTGCTGAATCCACCAATTTCGCAGGTGCACACTATTATAAACTCCTTTCCCACCTCTTGTTCTCATTAGTTCCATTTTCTGGATTTGCTCTGTCAAGCAACTTGCCTACAATGGAAGTCACCTAAGTAGTTTCAAACAACCGATGAGCACACCTTTTGCCTGCAACACCCAATTTCTGGGTGATTCTAGCCTATCCAGTGGAATCATCCTACCTGGTTGTGGTCAGTCTGTAGGCAAGAGTACCCCAAAAAAAGGAAACTGTGTATCCTCCACTGTTCCTTCCCTTATTTACACCACTAAATGTTGCAATGCAAACATATGGGTTAGATGTACAATAGCTTAATTTTGGACATGCCTATATTAAAATATATAAGTCCCATTAGTGATTTTTAAAAGCAAAATTGTTAAAAGGGTGAAGGATTGATGGGCCAGTTAGGGACACCAACATTTTTGAACCGGTAACAGCTTTCCAATGCTTATCTGTTGAGAATGAACAGGCCCTTTTAAGAATGAGTTTCTACTCTTAATTAAAAATGGCATTGCGTAATTCAATAGTCAATGTTTTGCATTGGCTTCTGGATCAAAGCTGCTGATTTTAGCACGAAGATTTATTCCCCCTCTCTGTAGATGCTAGCCCTACAAACTAGGCCTAGACTCTGAAAGTCAAGTATGAGCCTGCTAATTCAGAGCCTAACAATAAAGATTCTGCAGACTGAATTTACTCAGCAATGTTGTTGGTACATGACTCACAGATGCCAGTTCAGTCTTCCATACTCTTATTGGCTATGCTAATAGGAGTAATAGCTATATCTTATTTTAGTCAGTAAAGCAAGCCAGACTTTGAATACCCAGTTGGTTGGGTGAAAAGGTGCCATTTTTACAGTCAGTTTTCAGAGCAGAACAGCGCTTTAAAACTGCAGATTTATTGATTTTAAGAAAGAAGATAAAGAGGTTTACTTACTGGTAACAGTTCTTTGAGAGTTGCCTTTGGGCATTCACACTAATAGGATTCAGCACCTCACAAGTTGCTGTATAGAAAAGCTGTGTCTGCTGGGGGAGGGGACAGCTATAAGATTTTGTGCTAGGATTCCATAATTGAATGTGTCTATATAAGGAAACTCACCCGCCAGGCCTCCTCAGTTCTTTCTCTCAAGGCTGCAATACAAAAAATTCCAAGACACAGGTGACAGCAGGGGTGTAGTGGGAGACCACTCTTGAAGAACAGTTACTAGTATGTAACCTCTCTTCTTCTGTGGACCAACTCCATGTGGGTTTATTTTACAGCTCAGGAAGTGTCTGAAGGTAGCAGAACATCCCTGTCTGCTCCATTGCGTAGAGAAAAGTGTAGATTGGATGCAGGTAGAAGAAAGATATATTCCTCTACCACCTTAGACTCCTATGTGGAAAAGTGTCCAGCAGTTATGTCATGATACCTACTGAGGGAAGGACATTAGCCAGGTATGCTCTGAGGGCAGCTTATGACACCTCAGGTTCAATGTTATGACCACTGGTATAGCTCTGAGAAGATACTTCTGGCTCTGAGCATCGGGCCTTGCGCCAGACTCTTAGAAGCTAATTGAGAACCTACCCTTTGAGGGCACTGACCTTTTTTGTTACAAGTCAGAGAACACTCTGGAAAAGATCAAGTCTAAGAGTTGTAGCTCCATCTCTGGGACTCTTCATTTGCATCTCCTGCTAAAAAAAGCCATTTTACACAGCCTTTCTAAAGCCAATCTCCAGCTGCTCAGTAACAGCAGAGTACCCTACTTCAGAGGCGATATCAAACTCTGGCCTTTTCTAAAATGGCTCCTGTAAAAAGAACATAGAAGCAGAATCCTTTGCTGTACATCATCCCAGCCACCAGCTCCCAAGTATCAGTTTTGATGGGATGCTCAAGAGCTGCACACTTCTCCCCCTATGGTTTGGACCTCATCTTTCTTTCTTCTTCATTGTTTGTTCAAGATTCCTGCAGAGCACTGAATATTAGATACCAGGCCCCCTCACTTTCCCTGTCTTCTGGGGACCCTCTCTCACAAGAAACTCCTATTGGAGGGCTAAGCTCCCTTCTTCATAAGGGTGCTATAGATGAAGTTCCTGTGCAGCACCAAAGGCGGGGGTTTACTCCAGATATTTCCTAATACCCAAGCAAGGAGATGGTCTGAGATCCATCCTGGATAGAAGAAACCCCAACAGATATATAAAAACTTTTAAGTTCAGAATACTGTCATCAGGGTACATTAACCCATCCCTGACCATAGGGGACTGGTATGCAGCTTGTGTCTTAAAGGATGCTTGCTTCCATGTAGCAGCAAAACTTGCCCAATCCGAAGTACCTCCAGTTCTGTGTGGGATCAAATCACTTCACTATCATCCTTTATGGTCTGTCCACAGCAATGACAGTATTCACAAAATGCCTCTTGACATTGGCAGTTCAATGCGCTAAAGGGGCTGAATCCCATTACTTGGAATACACAGAGGCTCTCAGAGAAGAACAGATTTACCAGGGCTTAATTTTGCTGAGCTCCATCAACTTCAACTCCTGGAGCTGAGGGCACTCTGGATCATGCAGGATCAGGTCCTTACTCTTGGGAAGGGAGAAGTAGTAAATCGTATGCTATTTACAGTAAAGAAAGTTAGTTCAATTCCTCCTGCCAGAATTTTTTCGTATAGGATTTGAGAAACTGTTTGCTCAGAACATTAAAACTTTAAATTACACAGATTTCATCATGAGCTGGAAACAAGATGGCAGGTTCCCTTTCTTAATTAACATTTTTAAATAGTTGGCAATACACATATTTATAGCTAGATGATGTGATATGTTTTTACAGCTACAGTTTTTCTTAAGGC